AGCGCCGCCACCGCCACGCAGCGCAATTACGTTGGTCACGGACGCGGCACCACCTCTCCCCCCCCCCCCCCCCCCCCCCCCCGAGAGAGAGCCTCGGTGTTCTTCCGCCCGTGGCGCAGCGAGGCAAGACACAGCCGCTGGAGAAGGACGGAGCGATGCGGGGGAAATGACCGCTTAAAGCGGTGCGAGTTTTATCGCCGGGAAAGATACACCAGGCTTATTTTCTCCCTACTGGAGTAGGTGGCTCATGACTCACTGTAGTCACAGCCCGAGTGCAAGACATACTGGATGTACTGTGACAGGTGCAAAAATATCTTCCAGGTTGCTGACCAGGATAGACTCAGATAAAAATTAATCCTTGAAAAGATGGCAAAGCAAACGATCTGCTAGCCCAGCGAAAGAACCACAAGCAATGCCGGGGGGGGGGGGCATAGCAGAGGGTGGGTGCTAAGCTTAGGAAGGCCGAGAGTGCGTGCTGCCCTTTCACCGATGGGATGTTCTGCCCCCTTAAGCGCTGTGATTTAAATTTGAACAGCTGTTCTGTCACCGAGCACTTGTGCCTGCTGCTCTCTCTCTGCCACAAGCCCTGCTACAAGCCCTGCCACCCCACCTCACATCCCCCCACACCTTTCCATGACCCTGTGCCAGTTGTTAATTTGTATCGGAAAAATCGTTACGCTCGCCGCCTCTATTCTTCTCCTCCTCCTCGTGGCACACGGATGCAGGAGGCTTGATAATTATTTTTTTATCATGGCACGGAAAGCACTGCAGCCGGAGTCCCGCCCGCCTGTGCGTGCCTTGCATTGGTGCCACGCCAGTGTGAACCAAACAGCGGGAGCCCAGTTAACGAGCGGAGCTTAAGCCGCCACCCGAGCTGTTACCGGGCATCACAACACGTGCACCGCCACTTTTGTCACCCGGCTGGCAAAACGGCTGCCGGCGACAGTGCGGTCGCACGCGGCCTCGCACCGCCGCGCCGAGACGGGGGGTGGACAGGGCGGTGGTTAAACCGTGCAGGGGGCGCCGCTTCTCGCCAAGGCCACAAAGCGGTTGTTCGACCGCGTGGGTTCGGGTTGCGTGGCCGCGCACTGAGCCTCTGTTGCCGTGGTTTCTCCGTGAACCGAAGCTCCCGGCACAACGAAGCAAATGTCGGACATCAGCATCGCGACCTCATGGGTTCCGCCGTTGAGACACGTTGCCAAACGACGCGCGGTGCAGCCCCGAAAGCACGTCGCAGAGCAACGCCCTGGAGGTCACGGGCTGAGAGAACTTGCAGACCCAGCCTGGGGCTCTTTGCCCACACGCCCAGCTCAGCTACGGTAATAGCAAGGACAAATATTTGGACCCTGCGGGAGGCCATAAAATAGTACATAGTGTCTGCTTCAGAGTGGAGGTCAAAGGTCCCGTGCCGCTATTCGACAAAGAGTTGGTCACGTGTGCCGGCGGAAAGGTCCAAATTTGCCAAACGCAAAAAATTACGCCACAAATTACTTAGCTGGGAGAACAGACAGCAGCATCGCCACCTACGGCGAAACTACTGCAGCCTGTGCCTCGTGAAACACAGCAGCAGCGCCTCTTTCGGCGACAGTCGCCTTGCTCTGTGAGAATGGTGCGAACACCGAATATACTCGTGATTTGTTTTGATATGGAAAGCGCGTAGGCACTGCTGGTGGCAGGCACTTCACTCGAGCGGACAGAGATGAGCGCCACTTCTTTGATGCAATGAAGGTGCAGTTAAGATACGGCGAATTGAGATGCAATCGTAAGAATGACACAGTACAATCGTATTAATATTACCTTGGTAGTAAACCACAGTATTCAAAGTAAACGTTATTTCGCCAGCAGATGGGAAGACAGCACAGGAAGACAAATTGCATGCAGTAGAGACTCATGACAGGGTGAAGTCACGAGTTGATTTCAAATTGGTTCAGGTAATACAAAGGCATCAATATAACACAAATCTGAACAATAACAAACATAAAAAAAACTAAGGTTAAATTGGGCATCGAATTAGAAAGAAATAACAATAAAAATCAGAATATAAACGTACGTTTACAAAACAAAACTAAAAAAATATCCTAGAATACGCATCTGATATTGTCAAATCCAGCTTGTTGAAGACAGTCGCGCGAGAAAAGATGATCTCACTTGAAACCCAAATGAAGGCAACTGGCACGGTGCTGGTGGCTCGCTAACGCGCACGTCCGACGCCACAACCGATCTCTTATTATCGCGTGCGCCAGCCTTGTTAACGAGATCCCAGATTAGAAAGGTGGCGGTGGTGGGGGAAGCGGGGTAAACACTGGGAGATAACGAAGGGGGGGGGGAGGAGAGAGGGTGTAGGTTGGAGGTCACGAGGCTCTGAGCTCCGTGGCAGACGCTTCCGCTTGCTCTGCCCACGGTGCCAAATGGGCAACCGCCCAACAAAGTCGCGTCCGCGCGTCCCTCGCGAATGTCACAAGATTATCGAGTTAATTCCTGCGTGGCTAAGAGGGATGCCATGTGGGCCGTAACCCCGATGTAACGCAGTTAAGATGTTAACGCTTTTAATTTTAAAACTGTGATGCGGCGGCAGTTAGTTTCCTGCTTGCGCCGCCAACAATGGCAACGCGGTCCTAATGACAGCCTGTGAGTTATTACAGCAGAATCGTGGCAGCCGCATCGAGGGAGCCAGCCTGGCACGGCAGCTAACGGGGGGGCCCGCTAATTCAGCACCAAAAAATATATATACATACAAAAATAACGAAACCCATCGGAGAGGGCCACTGCTTCCCCTAATTTTTCCGCGATGCCAGCGATGGCGGCGGCATCGTCACCACTGGTGCCGCAGCCAAGATGGAGCCGCGGAGTGAAGCGCGGGCATCATCCGCCCCCAACGCCGCTCGGTCCGCCCGCTCTTCCCGCTCGCGCGCACTCACTCGGTAACAACGGCGAGATTGTATGCAAGTGAGGCACTACACCGTGCATACTAATCACCCGCAGCCCCCGCTCGCTACCGGCGACGGTTGTTAGCGCCCTCCCTGCAATAAGCCTTCCCCTTCCGAGCCCCCCACCCACCCGCCCGCCTGCCAACCAGCGCTTCTCTAATTTTTTTTAGCGCGCATAAATACGACGCAGCGCGATCAACTTACCAAATTACGCCGCTTAATGAGGAATTACTCCAACGTCGGCAGGAGGCTCCGCTGGCCGCGATGGGCACTGGCGCCGTGCCGTTGCAGTGTGGCGGGGTGGTGCAGCGGTGTGGTGAGCGGAAGGGACGCTCGGCAACGCGGGCCGGGGATACCAGTTTGGCGCGATCGCCTGTGTCAGTGGCGCTAGAGCGGGTGACGGGAAGGATTTTTCATTTGTGTTTTTCCGATCATTCCGTCTGTCCGTCTCACTCACCCGACCAACCAACACGTCCCTGCACTCCACCCGTACCACCACCACTACCCCCCCCCCCCATCCAACCCCCCGCCACCCCCACCACCACCTCTCCTCTAACACCCACGCAGGCAAAATATGCCTCGCACATCTCTCTCCCGCACCCCACGCGCGAGCACATGCGTGCCCCCCCCCCCCCCCCGGCCCACCTCAGCCCCCCCCACCGCCCCCCCCTCTCCACCACTCTGGGGGCGCCGGCTTCTCGAGCCCGTCAAGCGGGAGGCAGCGTTCGTTTCGCGCGACCGCCGTGCGACTGCCGCGGCGCTGCCGGGGACACCGAAGCGCCCCTCCCCCCCCTACTCCACGCTTCACCGATACGATTAGAGGAAGCGCCGAGGCTTGGCGGCGGCCAAGGTGAGGCTCGGGACGGCGAGACGCGAGCGTGGAGCTCGGCACTCCGTCGCCTCGGCGCCGTTACGAGCGGCGTGCCCCGCTCCGACCGGACCCCTCGCCGTCGCTCCTACCGGTGGCAGGAGCGTGGCGGTGTTACGGGGGGGGGGGGGGGGGGGGGGTATGGTGGGCACCGTTTAATGACAGAAACGGCAGGCCCAGACGCGTACCCCCCAGACGGATGGCTTTTCGCCGACGCGGACAAATTGCTTGGCACGCACATTGAGGGAGCAACCGTCAGTTTTAGCTCGGTGCATTTTGGTGCTGCAGCCCCGAGATGCCGACAGGAGCATTGCTCTCCCAGCGGCGATGCGGGGGTGGGGGCTAGGGGGCTCCTACAACCGAACCCCTCCCGCACCCTCCCTCCCCCTCTTCCGTGAAGAGGCACCGGCTGTGAGTGCTCTCCCCACCACAATAAACGCTCTCATCGCTTTTTCTCAAAAAGAGAATTCTATGCCGTGCATTATGAGATGTTATGCAACCTCTCTATCGGGATTTTGCGTTTGTTTATTTCTTTAAGAGCAAACATCTCCACCGAGCACAATGAGTTAACAGTGTACTCACTGTGTGTGGGGGTGGAGTGGACAGAGGGTGGGGGGGATGGGGGGGGTGTGGGGGTTGGGGGGGCCCTACTCACAACTGCACCCCCACTCGGCCCCACCACCGTCACGGCCACAACAACACGGACACGGCAGGATTCACAGGGCCATTGGGTCACGGGGTTAGGAGTTCAAGGCTCACAGCGTCATGGAGTTGGCTCCTCCGTGACTCAATGCCACGAGGATCACAGAGGGCCTTAACTGGCAGCGGTGTACAGGTGTGCATCCTGGCATTTAGCGCAAGAGGCCGGGGGCCAAGGTGGTGGTATTACGCGCGACGTCAACAAGGATCGCCACAATTACATTCGCTCCCTATCCCACAGCGCGTAGGAACAACCGTCCGTACGGCGCAGCGGGCACCAGCGCAGGACGAATGGCGCCGAGCGGCGGCCTCTTGGTGACAATCGAGGTATCCAAATACTTCCCCTGCACGCATGCACGCAAGCGGCTATGAGCCCCCAAAGCTAACGAGCTGCGAGCTCAACGGACCTTCAAAACGTCACCTGCCCGATACCGACGAGGTAACGGCAACACGGCGATCGCGGCCGGCCTCAGTGATGCGACGGGGGAGAAGACACCAGACCTCACCTGGATTTTCTTGCCCAGGTGCTCCCGGTCGTCCTTGTGCTTCTCGGTGCAGCGCTGGAAGGGCTCTCCCATCCCCTGTAGGAGCAGGGGTGGGGGGGGTGGAGGGGGGGTTGTGGGTGGGGGGAGAGCAGACAGCGGGGCCACATGGAGAGACGCGGGCTCAGGGCTCATCAGCAATGGCACGCCGGGGTCTCGCCCGCATTGATATTCATGAACGCGGACCAATATTGGTTGTAATTTTTTCCCGCGGCCCCCAGAGTTAATATAACCTGTAACCTGTGCCCTTGACAATGCAGCTGCCATAAGCGATGCTAGCCCACTCACAAAGCCGGCGGTCCCCCAAGATGCTCCTGACATTTCACTCAATTCCGTGCTCATTTGCACTTTGTCCAAAGTGACAAAATTACCTCCTTTGGAAAATGAAAAATACATATGTAGCGCTCGCCGGGAATGGCAGCCTGGTGGGCGTCCCGGAGGCCACGCTCCGGCATAGTGCTGGCAAATCAGCATTCCGCTGTCTCAATGTCACCGCGATCTCGGTGAAGCCGCATGGCGGTGACGCACACACGGAGTTCACGGGCAGGCGCCGATCACCGCCACTCACTGGAAGCGTAGCGTGGTTGGCATGGGCCCTGATCTAAGGAAGAAAATTGGACCGCTCTCCCCCCGCACCTGCCTCCCCCCACCCTCCACCCCCCCCCCCTGCCCAATTACCGCCCTCTTTTATAGGCTGACACTTGGGCCCCTCCGGACCGAAGGCCCCGGTGCAGTTGCACTTCCTGCACACGCAATAGCTACACCAACAGGCTTACGAGGAAGCGCCTTAATCTGAGCGTCTCCTGTGTTCATCAAGGAACCCCGATCTCTGTGTCGCCAAATTCACCGCCCTCTTCATAGCCCGCCACATCGGCCCCTCCGGCTCTTGGGTCCCAGGGCAGCTACACAGCCTGCGCACCCCTGATATCTACGCTGCTGCCGCTCACCACCCCCCCCGCCCCCCCCAAAGCAGCTCACCCGGTGGGATCCGTACGATCGGACCGGGCGGCCAGGTAATTCCCGCGCCGTTAAGCCACCGGTGTCAGAAATCATGGTGAAATAAGCCACGCAAGCCGCTCGGATCTCAGGCGGATCCGCGGGCCGGTTGGGGACCGCACGCCACTCCTAATCCCTGCGAGCAGCAGCCCGGTTTAAAGCGGCCAACGGGCGGCCGCGGCTCAAGCCGCCCAGGGACACGCGCGCGCAGACGTTAGACCGGCGACCGTGGTTTACGTTAAAACTTTTTAATCAAATTGCATTCAGGGCCCTCGCCTGGGAACAACGGAAGGTAGCCTCCCAATCAGGGCTGGATTTATTACGGAATATTTTGCCGAGCCGCTGGCAGGCTGCGGTAGACGTGCGAATGCGAGCTGCAGCCGTGGCGAGAGGTGCAATGGATGTGGTGTGCCAGGTGCGGAAGTATTGTTTTTTTAGGTCACTTGTGCCAGAAGACCCTGCTTAGATTAAAGCCCGCTGCTCCCAATGTCACTCTGAAGCCTTGATTCACTGAACTAGCAAATTGACGCGTTACGCAAGCGCAAATAAATGCCAATGGGGCATCTTCATCCGGAACCCTCGCCGCCTTCCACATATCCCTCTGCTACATCTGGAACCCACAGCCGTTGCTCTGAAATTTCATTTTTACTTTCTCACGGATGCCTTTCTCGTCGTCAGTGCAATGAATCAGCCGAGGGAGGGGACACGGCAAGCCCAGCGCCGGGACTCCCGGCCCACCCACCCGGGTGGGTGGCCGGGACAAGGAACCAAGATGGTCGCTCGTCACGGAGCAGCCACGGCCGATCGGTGGCCAACACTGGTGACTTTCACAGAAGGAGCTACACGGCAAACACGCACCCGCGTGTGCCTTGCAAGTACACACGCGTGCCTCACAGGCACAAAACAATGGTAACGATGATTCCCCCGGTGTAGCCTCTAACAGGACTGCAGGGGCAAGTGCTGTTCGTGAGCACCTGACGGCCAACTCGGCACACGAGTGGTGGGTAGACAGGACCATGTCCGACAATCTTTATCTCCCCAGTGCCGATGCTTACACACCGCACCAGGTACTTATTCGGCTGCATCGACCTAGGGGAGGCCCAGGACCGGTTCAGATATTCAACACCGATGTTGGCTGTGAGCAGGAATCGTAGCTCAGTGATTATATACAGAGCAATGCAATGCCTTGGGAGTGGGAAGCAGCCAGCAGCTGTGTGTGTGCGCATCCGTGCCTATCTGCGGTATGGGAGGATATGGAGCTGATCAGGCTTTGCTGTTGATTGGTACCAGTGCTGACAAGATGGGCCTCTGTGCAGGAGGCTCGTGGAGGACGCTACTGGGTGGTTGGTGACAGAGAGCTGTCGGAGCGAAAAATCGGACTTCGCGCCGAACGACACAGAGGGGTGGAAGCTTTATTTCCCGAGCCAGAGAGGTTCCTGGATGTGACGCGTCCTCTGTAGTGAGTTGGCTCGGAATATCTCTTGCGGAAAAATCGGACGGCGAAGGAGCGATGCTCACAGAAACAAGGGGAGCGCCTGGCGGCTAAAACACAGCAAGGTAGCACAGGTGATGCATCTACCAGTCATCTTTCTCAGTGAACCCATGGCACCTGGGTTTATCCTGACCTCCTGCAAAAAGGGCACCCTTCCGCACGTGACAAGGCCTCAATGTGCACCTATCTTCGCACAAGCACGATGGTGATGTCAATGACACTTAGTGGCGAATGGCGGTTGTTATTGTATGTGTATTTGTGGAGAGCAGCCATACATTAGCACCATATAAACATTACTGGGGCTCCCCTAGGTAAACAGTAGCACTCTATGCAGGGCCATGCGTTTGGTGAGTGCGGTGTGTGCAGGGTAAGTGTGGCGAGTGTGGCATGTGCAGGGTGTGTGACCGAGTGAAGGGACAGGGCGGTGTGTGCGGATTGTGTGCGGGTTGTGTGCGGTGAGTGCAGTCTGTGCGAGATGTGTAACTGTGTGAAGGGTGAGTGTGGGGTGTACGGGGTGAGTGCAGTGTGGAGGGTGAGTATGGCGAGTGCGGTGAGTGTGGTGTGTGTGCGGCGTTCGCTCCGCGCTCACTTCCGTCGCCGGCCCTCGCCGCTGCGCGCCCTCGCGACGAGCCCTCGTCTCCCCTGGCGTGGCCGCCACACGCGACCGACGACGGCGTCCCTTGGGGAAGCTGTAAATCATACGCTTAGGCTCATTGAGTGAACAGAACAACAAATATACGTGTACAGAACAAAAGGGGAAACAATGTAAACAAGGTGGGACCAATGATGCAGAGAAGAGTCGATTCTTATCGGGGAGGTGAGTGTGACAATTCATCGAACTTCTATGGGGCCAGGGGTGTGTGAATGATAACACGTGCAACTCGGACTATAAGTAAGAATAAGCAGTTGATAATTATTACTGCTGCTGATGATGATGACATGGAGTGAAACGCGCACACTGAATGTCTCCGGGTCCTCACTTCAGATCAGATGTGGCAGTCGCTGCTCAGCGTGCGAACCTGCGAACAAGAGGCGATATTGTCAGACTTGATCTTTTCAACTGCTGGAAATCTGTCACTCCATGACACGGCAAATACCAGCGGACAACCGCGGTCAAACTTCTGCTCGTTTCGTCTCTCATTTTTTTTCTCGCTCTCCCAATTAGGTTTCCGATTGCGCTGAAGGTTGTCGCGTCCGGCAACTCTCTCGACGAGCAACATCACCCGGTGCCAGAGATCAGCAACAACAGATGACGTCACACAGCCAGGGCTGTATTTATGTATCTCTGCCCCTGGGAGTCTGGAACAGAAAAAAAACTATACAGCTTCCGTCACCCCCCCCCACCTCACTGGTTCCTTGCCTTATTCACTAAGACAAAGAACACACCCATTGTAGCCTCCACAGGCTCTTGGGGAAAGTGCTCAGAGCAAGCACCTATGAAGGCCGACAAGGCGTATGGAGGGGGTGGTGTGGCTGGCACCACTGCTGGCCGCCTCCGTCTTCTCACTGCTGATGTTTCTACACCGCTGCAGGTGCTCATTTAGGGCTGAGTCGACAAAGGAGAGGCCCAGGACTGGTTCAATAACCACCACTGATGTTAGGCGTGGCTAGGAACTGAACTCGGACAGCGGGGTTCTTCGCGCAGTGCGCTAACCACAACGTTACTTCCCCCGGACCCTCTCCTCTTGTATATACAGACCCTACAAGAAGACTACGGAATTTCTGGGAGGCTCAAACGGAGAAACATGATTAACTGGAGGGCCCCTCTCTCTCCCTGCGTCAGCCCTGCCCAATTTTCAATAACCACGCCCACTCAATCACTTGTACCAGCCACGCAGTTGGAGTGACCTCCTCAATCTGACATGAGGCCCACCCATTAATTTGTTTGCTCCCCCACTACTCAGGTAGCCCCACCCAGTAACCAGGTAGACCCAGGCACTACTCATCACACACGACTTGGGGGTAACCCCACCCATTCGTGTTCCTATGCATTAATCAGATGTTCCTGCCACTCCCCACTGCTCAAGTAGACCCCACCCACTATTCAAGCAGCCCCTCCCACTACTCGGATAGCACCACCCTCTATTTGGGTAGCTCTGCCCTTTGCACGTATCATTAGGCCAGAAATATGAAAGATCAAGCCGTCATCATGGCCCATCGTCATTGATGCCACAGAAAGCACCAATACCTGACAATGCCGTTGTTAGACCAGAGGGGGGGAAATCCAGATATTCACAGCAGCTTTAATGTGTGACATGGGGACAGCGTATTTTTAAACCACTTTTTAACTGTCCCGGCCACAGCGGGTGGTTTGGTGGGCCCACCCTACCTGTGGTGACGGACGGGGAGTGGCTAAACCACAGCAGTGTGGCTCAGCATGGCCCGACCGGGTGGCTGTGGCTTTGGCGCGCTCCCCCACAGCGGTGCTCCGCAGTGGAGGAAGTGCAGCTCCTCCCCCTGGTCACACACGGACATCGCCACGGCACACACACAAAAATAAAGACAAAGATCCCCCGTGTAGCCTTAACAGACTGTTGGGGCAAGTGCTGTTAGCGAGCACCTGTGAAGGCCGCCACGTTACACGAAGCGGTAGGTTGCCATCACCACGCCCGGCCGCCTTTGTCTCCCCAGTGGCAATGTTTACACACTGCACCAGGTACTCATCTGAGGCCGAGTCGACCTAGGGGAGGCCCATTACTGGTTCAGAAAATCGTCACTGGTGTTGGCTGTGAGCGGGAATCGAACTCGGATTGCTAGGTTCGTAGCGCAGCGCGCTGCCGCTCCCCACAGCACACACGCACACACGTTCGTAGGGAGATACCGTCTCATGCCACGTCTACCACCAGTCACCACATCTTCACTTTTACTAGTGGCACCAGCCGTGCCACGGCCACTCGCAGGCAGTGACAGCCCTTTTTTCAAACACCCCGCCTATCGCACGCCATGAACACGATATAGCGACACAGCGCATGCTCGCAAAGCATCAAGAAGTGAGCGCACCTCAAGACGCTGACGGAAACGGAGAGCGGGCTTATTTTGCAGAGAGCGAATTGCAGTTGATCATCGATTATTCGGCTGCTTCCAATATTATCCGGTGGTTCCGGGCCGATTCGGATTGCACAGAGGCCCTCAAAATTTCATGCCCACTTATATGCAGAACCTCACAAGCATTGTCTGACTTGTGTGATCTGTATGTGACTTAATAAATCAAAAGAAATCCGTTTTTACACGCAACGCAATCGAACGACTCCATCACCCTTACGCGCCCACCGGCACGCCCGTTTACAGGGACTCACGGTCCTGCATTTCCCAGTTCTAAATAGTCAGCATGTAACAATATGCAGAGCTTTTCGTGTATTCTTCCCCGTCCAGATTGTACCTTTGTTTTTTTTCCCACGAGAGACATTCCTAGCCGGACTCTGCCACAGAGGACAGTCCCCCTTGCAGGGACCTCTCGGGCACAGCTCTCCGAAAGTGTTATCGCGTGTCGTTGGGCAACGCCGTCCCGACGGCTCTCCCCGTCCACCCGCACGTCCGCTCCCGTGAAGGGCAGTCCCCCACGCGCTCTCACTGGGCGCAGTTAACTAGATTGCCGAGTTCGGGCGACAGGCTCGTCTCGGTGACCGGCAGGGGGCTCCCTCGCGTCCCTCCAAACGCGACTCCCAACGGAGATCTCCGGTCGTGGCGGCATTGACGCCGCGGCAAATTCGGCAGTGCCCGCTCGGCAGACAGAACCCACAACAGAGCCCGCCCCACTGCTGGACGTCTGTGAAGAAGATCTTCATAGCTCATCGGATTCCTCCAGTCTAAATGAACATTCTGAACAGATTCTCATTCCGGTGGGACTGAAGGCACACACCGCGCGGCCACGCCGTGTCAATCCACTGCTGGATAGAGGACTAATTCCCGTGCAGTGCAAGTCCTTAGAATTTTAATACTCCTGTATAATGGAGCAAGTGTGAGTTTGTCCGTTACTGTGTCTGTCCGGATTTTTTTGTTTAAAAAATCCCATTATTTCGTTGAATATAGATTTTATGCATTTTGGAATGTCAGTAAAAATTCTAATTGAAAATTTGGAGAAACATTACAGGCGGCCTCCGGTTTACGATGGTCCAATTTACGTCGCACATTTACGACGTTTATATAACGCCACCGTGGATCGATTTACGTTGCATCTATGAGGCACCTCCCGACATGAATCGGAACATATTTGAACGGTGATGTTTCCACGGGGAAACGTGAAAGAAAGTGAGGTTTTTTTTTTCCAAAAAGATCAAGTTAACGTTAGGGAGGAAGAAGACAAGGTAAGAAATTTTCATTAAAAAAAAAAGCTGTGTCAATTTTGGTAAAAACCCCAAAAGTACGTTCTGTACACTTAACACTCTTGTCCTATGATTTTATAGCACTAGGGCACTATTTTCTAACATGTTATAGTATTAATAAAAATGGTTAATACTTCATATATTTGACCACAGCCTATATTTCTCGCCTTTTTTTGTGAAAAATTGGCTTTCTAACCCATGTTCAGGAATGTAACCGTCCCACTTTTGGAGTCACCGCCAACACGAGCCAAGGACAAACACCGGAGACAATTTGAATCTTCCTCCCTTCTGGTACGTTTAGTCATGGCCAATATTACGCATGGCAAACTCGTGCGTTGGATCCAGCAAAACCATCAAGATTCTGGCTCGGAAGGCTTCGTATCCGGACAAAGATGGAAAATACGCAGATAATGTGGTCTATAAAGATATTTCGATAAATTATTTCGTTACTTTTGAAATTAAACTAAAATATTCATGGATTTTATTGTCTTTAATTTGTTACTTACAGTAGTTTACATTTTACTATTGGACCGAGGAGAGTTTTACCAACTAATTTTACTTTACCAGGTAAGGCTCACTGAGCTTTAGAGCTTTTTTTCAGAAGCGACCTGGCCACAAACAAAATGGCTTATCGTGTTGAAATTTCCAGCAGCCAAATACTAGAAAAGCATCTTTATGAATGTGGAGGGAAAAACCAGAGGACCCAGAGAAAAATCCACGCGACCACAGGGAGAACATGCCAATATACAGGCATCAAGGTCGGGATAGAATCTACGCCCTGTATGTATGCAGAACTTATTTCGCGCCGTACGTATCCAACCTCTTGTATACCAGGCGAGGTAGTTAACATCTCGCCACCGTGGCACCCCTTCGGGCCCAATACCTTCTAGTTATGATAAAGCTGCGTCGATCGGTGTGTGAAGGTCAGGGAGCTTAGACGTTGAATCATAGTACAGTACTACGACGGTTTTTGCTGCTCTGCCCTCTGTTGGGAATGTAGTCTAGCAGCCACGACCCTCGCACATTCACACATCATGATGCCTGCACGGACACCCTAGCCTCAAGATGGATTACGATGTGGATTTATATCACATCTAAATGCCAAGGTGCTGTACACAGGGACAGTGAGGATGTTTATTTTACAGAGAGAGACAGGCATTCATAGGCTGAGGGGAAAAAGGAAGGTCTTGAGCTTGGACTTGAATCAACACAGACGGCTGAGGGATGGGAGATCCAGACCACGGGGGCAGCCGGGGAGAAGGGACGACCTACCAATCGGTGAAAGTTGACTGGGGGACTTCTACAGCGAGCAGGACAGTGCGTGGAGAAGAGTATAGTGAGATGAGAGGGGAGTGGTAGGAGAGTGCATGGAGGATCTTGAAGACGTTGAGTGTCATTTTGAAAATTGTTCCAGGACAGGATTGTGAACCAGTTGAGGGATCGGAGTATTGAAGAGACGTGGTCTCGTTCACGGGTGTGGGTGAGAAATCTGGCAGTGGCATTCGGAGTCATATGGCGTTTAGAGGTGAGAGACGTGGGGAGGTGAGGGACGTGGGGAGGTGAGGGCCGTGGGGAGGTGAGGGACGTGGGGAGGTGAGGGCCGTGGGGAGGTGAGGGCTGTGATTAAGGTATAGGTGAGGGTCTCAGCAGCAGCTGTGTCAGGAACTGGGGGGGTATGAGAAAAGTTGTGCAGATGGAGGCGTAAGGTTGTGCAGAATTGAGAAGCGTGGGGAGATAATAATCACAACTCCAATATTCTTAGTTTTTTCAGTAAAGTCACGTTGAAGGGAAACAACAAAATAATAAAATATATAAAACAATAAACAATTCTCACGACGTTTCGACCATAACTCAAACGGTCGTCTTCAGGTGTGTTGGTTTGCATAAATTTATTTTTAAAACGGCGCATTTCTTTATTTATAAAAAAAACGTTAGCGCCACGCGCAACGATTTGGCAGTTTATTTAGGACTAGTCCATCTATATTCTGAAAAGAGGGGGGAGACGAATTTTTTTATAATGTATGCTGTCTGAAAGCCACTGTAAGCGTGAACAATCAATTAAGACCTGAAATGGTTTATCAAATCTTTCCAATGATTGCTAAGATAGAATCCATCTTCTCGGTTGAAATTGTCTCTGTGCTTGTATATGTGGATAGCCTCATGAACGAATCTCTCATGGAAGCCAGATGGCTTACAAAGAACCTCTGTCTTGGAAAAGTCAATGGCATGTGAGCCTACTGAATTAGAACAATGATCTGCCACGGCCGAGGTGTTGGTCCTACCGTGTTTAAGGTCTGCTTTGTGTTCACGAATGCGGTCCGAGACATGGTGTTTGGTTTCTCCAATGTAACTACTACCACAGAGGCAACTTAGTTTGTAGACACCAGGGTATTGTATGTCCGGAATCACATCTTTTACAGACGGAACCAGATCACGGATTTTATGTAATGTGTTGAAACGGACCTGGATCTTGTGTTTATTCAAGATTTTGGAGATCTTTTTTGTGATCCCCGCAATGTAGGGTAAAGTGATGGTTTAGTAGTTACATTGGAGAAACCAAACGCCATGTCTCGGACCGCATTCGTGAACACAAAGCAGACCTTAAACACGGTAGGACCAACACCTCGGCCGTGGCAGATCATTGTTCTAATTCAGTAGGCTCACATGCCATTGACTTTTCCAAGACAGAGGTTCTTTGTAAGCCATCTGGCTTCCATGAGAGATTCGTTCATGAGGCTATCCACATATACAAGCACAGAGACAATTTCAACCGAGAAGATGGATTCTATCTTAGCAATCATTGGAAAGATTTGATAAACCATTTCAGGTCTTAATTGATTGTTCACGCTTACAGTGGCTTTCAGACAGCATACATTATAAAAAATTTCGTCTCCCCCCTCTTTTCAGAATATAGATGGACTAGTCCTAAATCAACTGCCAAATCGTTGCACGTGGCGCTAACGTTTTTTATAAATAAATAAATGCGCCGTTTGGAAAATAAATTTATGCAAACCAACACACCTGAAGACGACCGTTTGAGTTATGGTCGAAACGTCGTGAGAATTTTTTTTTGTTTTATATATTTTATTATTTTGTTGTTTCCCTTCAACGTGACTTTACCCAAAAAACTAAGAA